AATGGAATCTTGAAATTTGCAGGAAAATGGATGGAACTAGAAGAAACCATTCTGAGTGAGGTAATCCAGTTACAAAAAGACAAACATGGTATGTACTCACTCATATGTGGATTTTAGACATAGAGTAAAGGATTACCAGCCTACAATCTACACTGCCAGAGATGCTAGTAAACAAGGATGACCCTAAGAGAGACAAACATGGTCCCCTGGAGAAGGGGAAAGGGTCACGATCTCCTGAGCAAATTGAGAGCGTGGGCAGAGGGGGGAGGGAGGTACAAGAATGAGAAGGGAAGCAGAGGGAGGATGCAGAGGTCATGAGGGAGCAGAAAGGGTGAATCAGGGGGAGAAATAGAAGAAAGGGTATGTGATAGGTAGAGTTTTAGTTGGGGGGGGGTGGTAGGGGAGGACGGGAGGGAGAAGGAAACTGGGATTGTCATGTAAAACAATCTTGTTTCTAATTCAAATAAAAAAATGATAAAAAAAAATAAAGCCTAGTTTGTATCAATTTGTTTTGACTTAGTGTTGTTTTGTTTGCATACCCATGATATGCACTTACATACCAGGTAGCAAGACTATTTGTAATCACTATCACTCTTCTTAAAACTTATTAAGAGGTCTACTACAGCAGTTCTTCAATCTAGAGATTGCTGTGTAAATCTCCAACAGAGAGATCATATCCAAACTTAGGTCTGGATGGTGATGAAAGGTTTTAGAAAGCAAGAAAAGGTTTTATAAAAGGGGCAGGGTGAAATGCTTGTGGGCCATTTTCACATGTTCTGTAGACTGCTTTACATTTTAAAGTTTTATTATTATAATTAATCATTATATGTGTGTGGGGAGCTGTACAAGTAGGAGAGGTGACAGGGAAGTTAGAGCCATTGTGTCCCCTGGAGCTGGAGTTACTGGCAATTGTGAGTCATCTGACATGGGAGCTGGGAACTGGACTCAGGTTCTCTTAACAGTTGAGCCATTTAGTCTACCTAGTTTTACATTTTAAAGGTTATTAATAAAGAAAAGATGAGGAGCATGCAACAGAGAACACCTTTTCCAAAAAGCCTGAACTATTTCCTTTGATACATTTCACAAAAAATGTCTACTGACTTGTACTCTAGATAATGTTTTGTATCCGGGCAGTGGTGGTGCACGCCTCTAGTCCCAGCATTCAGGAGACAGAGGCAGGCAGATCTCTGTGAGTTCCAGACCAGCCTGGTCTATAAGAGCTAATTCCAAGACAGCCTCAAAAGCCACAGAGAAACCCTGTCTCGGAAAAAACAAAAACAAAAACATAAAAAACAAAACAAAACAGAAAAACCACACACACACCAAAACCCTCAAATTTACCAGGGCTGGCCATACCCATTATTCTCCCTTGCTCAATGAAAGATAATGTTTTGTATCAAGCTTTGTACTAATACAACTTCACTTCTTTTATACTAATGACTCCGTGGATAACAGCACTGGCTGCTCTTACAAGAGGACCTGGGTTCAATTCCCAGCACCCACATGGCAGTTCACAATTTGCTGTAACTCTAGTTCTAGGGTATCTGATGCCCTGGTTTGACTTCATGTAGGCACCCCATACATATGATACAAATAAATATAAGGCAAAAGTATAGTGGAGCCTTTGATCCCACCCAGCATTTGGGAGGCAGAGGCAGGCAGATCTCTGTGAGTTTGAGGCCAGCCTGGTCTACAAATCAAGTTCCACAACAGCCATGGCTATTACACAGAGAAACAAACAAAGGCAAAACTCTCATATGCATAAAATAAAATGTAAAACTATGTCTCTCTCAAGAGGCTAGACTTATAATATGATACCATTCATAGTTCTAGTGTTTGAAATGCTTTCATACTTACCTCGGATAGGGCCCAGGGCTGCATCTTTTGCCAAAGCTGTTAGATCACTTCCAGAGTATCCATCAGTCATTCTGAACAGTAGAAGCAGAAGATAGCAAGTTATCTTCCTTGCAGATTAAAACCTCCCAGCACTTGGGAGGCAGAGGCAGGCGGATCTCTGTGAGTTTGAGGCCAGCCTGGTCTCCAGAGTGAGTGCCAGGATAGGCTCCAAAGCTACACAGAGAAACCCAGTCTCAAACAAACAAACAAAACAAAACAAAAAAACAAAAAAACAAAAACAAACAAACAAACAAAAATCCCTACATGAGAGTTAAGCTAACACAGTTTGATTTTTCATTCTTCTAAAATATATTTGTTTATTTTATGTGTATGTGTGCCTGCTTGTATGCTTGTATGTATGAACAGAATTGTGTGTGCACATGGCCACAGAGGCCAGAAGGCATAGATCCCCTGGGGCTGGAGTTACAGGTGGTTGTGGGTTCAGGGAACTGAACCTACGTCTTTTGCAACAGTAGTCAGTGCTCTTAACTACTCAGTTATCTCTCCAGTGCCATGATTTAATTTTTTGAAGACAGAGAAAGGCCCATTTGAGAACAGCACAGTCTAATGTTCACTCCTTATAGCACCTCAAATTTTCAGGGTTAGAGAACCATTCCTTTACATCAGTCCAAACTGAAGCCTACGTGCATCTGCAGACAGCTATGAATGAGGCCCAACACACTTATAGATGATTATGTCATATACAAATACAAAATACAAATGTCAAAATACAGGACACCTCTGCTTTAAGATAAGGTATACTCTGAGGCAGGTCAGGTAGTTATAAACACATCACCTGGGAAGGTCAAATTTATAAGCCATTAGTAGCAAATCAACACATAACCACAATTACTTTTTTCTTTTTCTAAGAAAGGGGCTTATTATGCAGCACACTACCTCCCAAGTGCTGGGATTAAAGGAATATGCTACTATATACAGCCACAATTACTTGTTTGGTAAGTTAATTAGTCTCTTAACTGGCAAAGAACACCCCCTTAATGAGGTGAGACCTAAAATGTAAAATGTGAATTTCTTTAAACGAGGGCAGAAAAGACAAAAGAAGTGTTTGGCATAAAAAACAGTTGTAAAAAGGAGGCACACCTGAATAGGATGTCTCAGGAGATGGAATAGCCAGTAGATGCTCCTTTTTTTTAATGGGCATTTAGGAGCTCGATATTCTTATGAAATTACTGCTCAACTACTTAAGGGTTTGAGTTTGAGTTTTTTGTTTGTTTGTTTGTTTGTTTGAGACAGAGTTTCTCTGTGTAGCTCCCAGCACTAGGGAGGCAGAGGCAGGTGGATCTCTGTGAGTTTGAGGTCAGCCTGGTCTATAGAGCAAGTTACAGGAGAGCCAGGGCTGTTACTCCAAGAAACATTGTCTGGGTGAGTGGGGGTGGGGGGGTAGGGAGGAAAACACTCTATTGCTGGGCTATAAGCTACATATTAGTGAGACACTATCATTTAAATGGAGTTCCTAGAAAAGACCTCACTGAGAAAACGACTCATTTTGTTTTATACTCATATCCAGACTAGCCTCAAACTTGCTATGTAGCAAGCAAGGATAATGTTGAACTGATTCTTTAGCTACCTGAACTATTTTCCTGCCTACAGCCAGTGTCTACTCAAGTACACTGAAAAAGTGTTTTATATATAGTCTAGCATTTATCAGGCTCAACTCCCCTCCCCTTACCCTCTCTTCAGCCTTACTGCAGTTCAAATAAAGAATACTGTTCTGAGTGGGCTCACTACAAGTCTCAAGTCTTTGGTATCTGACTGGCTTCTGATCTAACAGTGCTACCAGCCTTCTGTAAGAATCCTTGACCCAGTGTTTCTTTTAAGTGTACATCTAGCAAATGCAGTAATAAGGTGGCAGTGAAGCAGCCGCACTGTTTGGGAAAGGATGCTGCCACCAGTCACCTCTCCTGAGAGAACAGGCCTCAAGGCCAGGATAGGGTACAGAGGAGAAGAGAGATGGATAAGGCAGCATGAAGGGAGACTTAAGGGAAGGTGGAGCCTTCTTACCAGGGAATGAAAAAGCAAAGGCCCTCGGGATGGTCTTCAGAGGCCTGTGTGCTGAGTCTTCTGAAGAAACACCCAGTTATTCCCCCAGCCACACATAAAACCATTGTGATGTGGTCAGAGTAGCCACGAGTCTCTGGCCTTCACTGCAAGACACTGTAGTGATAGCTGCTATGTCATGGCCTTCTTGGCTTTGAGATGGGGTCTCTATATGTAGCCCAAGTTGGCCTTGATTCTACTGCCTCTACCTCCTGAGTGTTTGGAATAAGGTGCGCTTTACCACACTCAGCTTCCTTATTATATTTAAAGGTATGTTTTCAGATGAACAAGTTAATGTGAGTCCACCTACCACAAAAGAGCAAGTATACATGAAAATATCTGTGTTGCTCTGAAATATGAAGGGATTTTACTTTTCAAATTATTTTAATATTATTTGCAAGCTTTATTTAAAGAAAGACTATAATGTTGTCATTAGGTACTTATTTCTGGTCTAGTATAAGACAGAAATTGAAATTCTGTATCAGGAAGAGGAGGTAAGAAAATAAAGGAAGCAAAAGAGAAGAAGTTTTACGGTAAATGAACTATTCAATTCTTTTAAAAGCTTGTTTTACTCAAACAATTTTTATATTAGCTCATTTCAAACAGTAAAGGAAGAGAAATCTTTACAAATAAAACAGATGCCATAAGACAGATGAATCAGATGAATGATACCACTCACCTAGCAAGTTGTGCAAGTTCTTTTTGGGTCAGTGGACTTCCTTGCTTACATAACAGGTTTTTAAGTAGAAGCAGTCTTGTCTGAAAATAAGTATGAAAGAATGATTAGTAAGGCCCAACTTCAAAAGAGAATTATAAAAACCTATCAGTGTCATTCCTGATTATTTCTGTCTGTTAAATATAACAAAAACTACTTGTGAGAATTAGTGAGGGAATTTCCAAAGACTGTCCAGATTCAGAACCAAGGAAGTGGCTGCTGTTACTATCAAACATGCTAAGGGCCTGACCTAGAAAGCTACAGCTTTTTACAAAGATTTATGTATTTTCATTTTATATGTATGAGTATTTGCCCAAATGTATGTATGTGTACACTTGTGTCCTGTGCCGACAGAAGCCAAAGAAGGGTGTCTGATCCTCTGAAAGTGGAATTATGAATGGTTGTGAGCTGCCATGTGGGTTCTGGTAACCAAGCCCACATGGCAAGAGCTATAAGTGCTCTCAACCACTGAACCATTGGTCCACCTCCAAGAAATACAATGCTTTCTTTTTTTTTTGGGGGGGGGGGTTTCGAGACAGGGTTTCTCTGTACTGCTTTGGAGATTGGCCTTGAACTCTCTCTGTAGACCAGGTGGCCTCAAATTCACAGAGATCCACCTGCCTCTGCCTCCCAAGTGCTGGGATTAAAGGCTTGCACCACCAACGCCCTGCTTACAATGTTTTCAAAATGGTTTATTGACATATGATTTTATTTTTTGTTTTGTTTGGTTTTTTTTTTTTTTGTTTCTTGAGACAGGGTTTCTCTGTGGCTTTGGAGGCGGTCCTGGAACTAGCTCTTGTAGATCAGGCTGGCCTTGAACTCACAAATATCCACTTGCCTCTGCCTCCCGAGTGCTGGGACTAAAGGCGTGCACCACCGCAACCTGGCTGACATATGATTTTAAATAGTGAGAATTTCATATATAATAGAATATAATTCAAATGACTTTCAATCATACAGAACTATAAAACCATTACTATAATAAAATTTTAGTACATCTGTCACCCCTGGAAGTTCACTCATGCCTGTTCGCAATTAATCCCCATTCTTACCTCCTTTCCTATCTAATCACCTATCTGATGGTATTTCTAGAAATCTGCTTTTCTAAATATTTCATTTAAAAGGAATAAAACTGGGGCAAGAGAGACAGCTCATCCAGAGAACCCAGGCTTGATTCCTAGTACCTACATGGCAGCTCATAACTATCTGTAACTCGAGTTTCAGGGAATCTGATCCCCTCTTCTGGCCTGTCTGGGGCCCAAATACACAAGTGGTAACAGATAGATAGCAGGTAAAACACCTACACACAAAATTTTAAAGAAAAGTAGGTAAATAAAACAATAAAGTACAATCATATGTAGTTAGTTTGTATATGGTTCCTCTCCCTTAATATACTGTTTTGGAATTTTGTTCATATTAGTGAATGTAATATGTACAGATGAGACTTTTCTTTCAGTCTGTGGATCAAGCCCAGGGCCCTATATATGCTGGGCAAATGTCCTATTTCTAAGCTACATCCCAAACCCTAGATAATAAAGTAATAATTTTTTAACTAAATAGTACTCATTAACTGGGTATGCCACATCTGTTTATCCATTAAGCATCTGATGAACTTTTTTTGCAGGTTGAGGCTGTTGTTAAGACAGATGCTCTAATACTGTTGACCATGTCTTCCTACTATGGAGAAGTTTCCACTTCTCTTAGATAAATGCTCAGGAATTGCTGGGTCTTCTCTAAGTTTGTGGTTATTGTTTTAAGAAACTGACAAGCTTTCTAAGATTTATTTTTATCTTATTTTGCACTTAGATGTATGTATGTACACCACATGCATGCACTGCTCATGAAGGCTAGAAGACAGTGTTGGATCTTCTGAAACTAGATTCACAGTTGTGAACCCCCAGTGGGTACTGGGAATTGAACCCTGTCCTCTGGAAGAACAGCCAGTAAGTACTCTTAACTGCTGAGCCATCTCTCCAACCACAACAAACTTTTTTCAAATGGCTATACCACAGAGTTGCAAATACAATATTGTCAGGACAGTACTTTTACGTTAATAAAAAATAGGAATATGAATAAACTTACCTCCTCATTTGGTAAAGACACATATACCCGTTTAATGAAACGCCTGAAAAATCAATTTAGAAATATAAATTTGAAGTTATAGGCAACTCAGCTCAAATGACAACTGATAGGAAAAAGCTGGAAGTATCATATCTTAGGCAACCTAAAGCTCTTTCTGGTCATTACTACAAAAAGGTATTTTTACTTTTTTTAGTGTGGGTGGTTTACCTACAATTGAACCTATGACCTCATACATGCTAGACAACCCCTTTTCTGCTGCCCTTCTTTCATATTTTATCTTAAGACATATTTTCATTAAGTTGCCCATGTTGGCCCTGACCTCACTCTAGTAAAGGAAGGTCTTGAACTTGTGATCCTCCAGCCTCAGTCTTCCAAATAACTTGGATCATAGGGTTGTGCCTCCAGGCTTGGTTATGAAGTCATTTTTTTCAAACTCTCTAGTTAATGCTTAAAAATCTTTAATTCAATAAATGGTAGGATTAAGTCTGTCACTTTTTATGTGTACTTTAATGGCAACAAATAATATCTGGCACAATGAGCAGAATAATTAGTCTAGCTGGGTGCTGGTGTTGCACGCCTTTAATCCCAGCACTCAGAAGGTAGAAGCAGGAAGAGCTCTGTGAGTTTGAGGCCAGCCTGGTCTACAGAGAGAGTTCCAGGACAGTCAATACTGCTTCACAGAGAACCCCTGTCATAAAAACAACAACAACAAAAAGTCTTCTAGAAAACAACTAAAAAAGGACAAAGATGCTGGGCGTTGATGGCGCAAGCCTTTAATCCCAGCACTCGGGGGGCAGAGTCAGGTGGATCTCTGTGAGTTCAAGAACAGCTTGGTCTACAAGAGCTAGTTCCAGGACAGCCTCCAAAGCCACAGAGAAACCTTGTCTCGAAAAACCAAAAAAAAAAAAAAGGGGGGGGGGGCAAAATTACAGAAGCAGAAATGTTCATTTCATCTAGGTTTTAATTTACAAAGCTTTACTATGTGGAAGAGCTGAGCAGAGCTCACACAGTATGGAATCTGGTTCTCACCAAAGCTATGATTTTATGAACTGGAATAGGCACTTTGGACTTATTTTTACTCTTTTACAACTGTACATTTATTTTTACTACTAAAAAGAGTTTAATTATTATTGTCAAATACATCGGAGTTACATATTAACCCATAGTACTTCATAATGTTTAAATAAAGGCAACTTAAGTATAACCCCAAGGCAGCCACAACCTTGTTACCAGCTGCCCACAGTTGCTACAATGGGGTGGAAGTTTATGGGGTGGACATTGATCATAGCCACTTAACAACTGGGTGGCACAGCATGGTGATGACAGGGTCGAAAAATTAAATAATGGGAAAAAAGTATGGAAATGTGTGTGGAGGTGTGTACCTATGGTCCCAGCATTTAGGAACTAGAGTTTAAGGCTTTGACTACAACAGTGAGCTCAAGTGTAACCTGGGCTATATGAAATCCTATTTCAAAAATCCAAAGATATATTAATAATAACAACAACAACAATATCATCACCATGGCAGGCAGCACTCAGGAGGCAGAGGCAGGTGGAGCTTTGACTTAAGGCCAGTCAGGTCTATAGCGAGAGTTCCAGAACAGCCAGGGATACATAGAGAGATCCTGTCTCAAAACAAACAAACAAACAAACAAAACATACCTCAAAAATAAATAACAACAACAACAACAACAAAAAAGTCAGGCAGTGGTGGCAGAGAAAGGTGGATCTCTGAATTCAAGGCTAGCCTGATCTATAGATCAAGTTCCAGGACAGGCTCCAAAGGGATACAGAGAAACCCTGTCTCAAAAAACCAAACCAAACCAAACCAAACCAAAACAAAACCAAAACAAACAAACAAACAAACAAAACCTCCCCAAACTCCAAAAGCAAAACAAAACAAAAAATCTGGGCTGATGGTCAATGAGTAAAAGTTTGGCATCAAGCCTGGTGACCTTACTACATCATGTGGTGGAAAGACCTAGAAGACTTTGGGAAGATGTCCTTAATTTCTGTGCACATACTCATATGCATGTGCATTTCCTACCCAAATAAATGCAATTAAAAAAAGAATGGCAGGGAGGCTGGAGAGATGGCTCAGAGGTTAAGAGCAGTGACTGTTCTTCCAGAGGTCCTGAGTTCAATTCCTGGCAAGCACATGGTGACTCACAACCACCCTGGATGAGATCTGGTGCTCTCTGCTGGCATGCAGACAGAAGACTGTACACATAATAAATAAAATCAAAAAAAAAAAAAAAAAAAAAAAAAAAAAAAAAAAAAAAAAAAAGGGGGGGGAAAACGGGAAGATGCACCCAGGAAATTTCAGTATGATTGCCTAAAATGAGACCTGAAAAATGACACCACCAATTGGCATGAAACATGGATGGGAAAAATCTCACAAGGCCCCATGCCTAAATGAAGAGCTACAAGAATTAATACCTGATGAAAGAGGGAGAAACAGTCTTCTTCAGGGACAGTGCCCTCTAACAAATAGGTTCTCCAATCCCATGCAGTCAGCCTTAAACACATACATGTGAGCAACATTGTGTGAACTTAGTAGGTGCTGTGTGTGTGTGTGTGACAATAATTAGAGAATATGGGGCCATGAAAAAGAAAATCAACATGGGCTGGGTGTTGGTGGCGCACACCTTTAGTCCCAGCACTCGGAAGGCAGAGGCAGGCGGATCTCTGTGAGTTCCAGATCAGCCTGGTCTACAAGAGCTAGTTCCAGGACAGCCTCCAAAGCCATAGAGAGACCCTGTCTCGAAAAACAGAAAGAGAGAGAGAGAGAGAGAGAGAGAGAGAGAGAGAGAGAGAGAGAGAGAGAGAGAGAGAGAGGGAGGGAGGGAGAGAGGGGGGAAGAGAGAAAGAGAAAGAGAAAGAGAGAACTGAATACTGGGTCAAAGATTTTTTTCTTCCAGCACAGAGTTAATTTGCCCAAACACACGAGCGCTGAGAGCTGTTCTCAGGAATTCTGCTTTGATCAGCTTCCTACAAAGCCCAGTAAGATGGTAAGGACTGCTGTCAGGTGGTGGTGGTGGCGCCTGTCTTTAATCACAGCACTTGGGAGGCAGTAGCAGGCAGATCTCTGTGAGTTCAAGGCCAGCCTGGTCTACACAGTGAGTTCCAGGACAGCCAGGACTACACAAAGAACCTGTCTTGAAGGGGAAACAAGAATGGTAAGGAGTGATTTCAGACTTTAAAGTTAATGTAATGCAATGTAAAAGAAAGGATTCATCTAAATGTAGTCTGTAGAGAATAGTTTTAATAATGTCCTTGGCTTGACCTCATTTGTTATAGTTGGCATCACCAGGACAGCACACAACAAATGGAGGACAAATCATTTGGTTTTAACGCTGACAATACAGAATATAAGAGGTAGGTGAGAAGACCCTGGGTGTGGTGGCACACACTCCTTTAGTTCTAGTACTACGAAGGCAGAAGCAGGAAGATCTGAGTTCCAGGCCAGCCAGGAATACATAGTGAAACCTTGACACCCTCCCCTCCAAAAGAGAGAGAGAGAGAGAGAGAGAGAGAGAGAGAGAGAGAGAAAGAGAGAGAGAGAGAGAGAGAGAGAGAGAGAGAGAGAAATATGAACACAAGAAATGAATCTGTCAAAAATGAATCTCACTACCTGAGAACGGCTTCATCAAGCTCTTGGGGTCTATTAGTTGCACCCATTACAAGTACTCTGTCATCTCCAGCAGATTGCACCTGTAAGCCAAAACATTTTGTCAGTGTTTTAGATAAAAATAAAAACGGAATATACATACACATATTTATATAGTTTGGGTCATTTAGTAGCAAAGTATACATATTAAAATACTGCCATAGTAAAAAATATAATCAGTGGTTAGAAAGATGGCTCAGTGGTTAAGAGAGCTCTTGTTGCTCTTACAGAAGACTTGGGTTTCATGGCAGCTCACAACCACGTGTAACTAATTTTAGGGGTTCTTATGCACTCTTCTGGCTTCAGTAGGCTCCTAAATACATATGGTGCACAAAAACTCATGCAGGCAAATACACAAACACATTTGATAATTTCAAATCTTAAAAATATGTATATGCACATATAGATTATCAATACTTACACCATCAAATTCTATTAAAAATTCAGTTTTTAGTCGTCTACTAGCATCATGCTCCCCTTCTCTTCTTTCACACAAAAGACTATCAACTTCATCTAGAGGAAATGGAAAGAGGTTTTTAAGACCAATCTAGGTAAATCATCTAATATTCATCTAGTTTGTACTTATTAATAGTCCTACTGAATTCACTTTTCAAAAATGCTAATCCTTCTGAAAAGCTTTTTGAGCAAACTTCTCATACTTGAAAAGTAGAATTTCTTAAATGCTCAACTTAGTTGGGAAAGTACTTACCTATAAAAATTATAGACGGTTGAAGTTCTCGAGCCACAGCAAAGAGAGCTCTCACCAGTTTTTCTCCTTCTCCCACCTACAAGTATGATGCATTCTTAACACATATAAATGCAACAGTATTCCAGTTTCTTTTTTTTTTTTTTTTCCTGGTTTTTCAAGACAGGGTTTCTCTGTGGCTTTGAGGCTATCCTGGCACTTGCTCTTATAGACTAGGCTGGTCTCAAACTCACAGAGATCTGCCTGCCTCTGCCTCCCACTCCCAAGTGCTGGGATTAAAGGCATGCCCGGCCAGTATTCCAGTTTTTAGCATGATTTAAAATTTAACTTAATGATCTCATGATATATTCCAATGGTGTCACAGAACATATAATTTTAGAAAAAACACTATTCACTTTCTCAAATTAAGGGTTAATGTGACATATTTCATGGTCTTAGTTCCATTCATACTAGTTATAAACATACAAGACAGAACTATTCTGTGTGTGTGTGTGTGTGTGTGTGTGTGTGTGTGTGTGTGTGTTTGTTGCACATGCATATACTACCATCATCTTGGTGCTCTCTCTTTATGAGACAGGTTCTCTCAGTGGCCTAGAGTTCAGTAAGTTGGCTAGGCTGGGCTGACCTATAAATTCTAGAAATTTGGCTGTCTCCATCTCCCCAGATGGAATCACAAGGACAGGCTACCATGCCCAGTTTTTTTAGTGTGGCTTCCAGAGCTCAAACTGATCCTCATGCTTGCCTAGCAAGAACATTTTTGACTGAGATAGGTCCCAGCTCTCCTTATACTACTCTGCAGGTATGGCTGCGCTACTCCCTAATTGAATACCACTGGAGTCAGGAAGGAAAATTAGAAAGGAAATCTAAACTGTGATATAAAACAATAAAACAAAACAGGAAAGCCAAGCATAGTGCCATATGCTTTTAATCCCAGCAGTCAGGGCAGAGGCAGGCAGATCTCTGTGAGTTTGAGGCCAGTCTGGTCTACAGAGTGAGTTTCAGAACAGCCAGGGCTACATATAGAGACCCTATCTTAAAAAATGAAAACAAAACAAAACAAAACAAAACAAAACAAAACAAAAAAAACAAAAAACCCAGGAGAAGCCTTATGTCAAAATAATTTAGAGCCAAAGATCAGAGAATATTCAATTTACTGTAAGTCCTGTTCTCACACATACCTCTCTAGATAGCCACATTAGGGAGCTTAAGTAGAAATTTACAACTTAAATTATATATTGTCCCCAAACACATTGGAGCCCTAGCTATAGTGTCTATAAATGAAGACTCTATTTGGAAATATCATCCTTATAGATGGTCAAATTAAGCTAAGGTCATTAGGGTGAGCCCGGATATTACAAAGAGATCGTCATGTGATAATATAGGAAGATGCATCTGTAAGTCAAGAACTGCCAGGGATTGTCAGCACACCAGAAACTAAGGAGACCCGTGACACATCCACTGCTGTGGCTCCCAAAAGGTATTACCTCTGCTAACACTCAGATCTTGCACCTCCAGTCTCCTAAGAATGTATTCCCACATCCTATTTACTTGTACAATACATTTCTGGGGTTTGATTCTGTCAGCCTCAGGACTGTGTTAGCCAGGGCCTTCCAAACCATGACAGTATTCAAAAATGTAATTCTAACTTTAAGATAGCTAAAAAGTACACTTAACTTTTGTACCTTGAAGAGCTATATTCATTACATTTAAGACAGTAATTTAAAAACATTACAATATGGGGAAAAGAACACTTACATATTTTGAAGTTAAACTTGCAGCACTTATATTGAAAAAGGTGGCATTAGATTCTGCAGCTACTGCTTTAGCCTTTGAGATCAGAAGAGTAAATATGTTAGTTGAATGTCCTGATCTTTTTTTTTTTTTTAATTTATTTATTTATTATGTATACATTGTTCTGACTGAATGTATGCCTGCAGGCCAGAAGAGGGCACCAGATCTCACTACAGATGGTTGTGAGCTACCATGTGGTTGATGAAAATTGAACTCATGACATCTAGAAGAGCAGCGTGAGTGCTCAGTGCTCTTTACCTCTGAGCCATCTCTCCAGCCTGAATGTCCTGATCTTTTAGGACAGCTGCATCTCATCAAAGAAGTACCAGGGCAGAAGGCGTGACGCGAATCTCTGCATATATCAGCTATGACAAGTCTACAAACTACACTTCTTTCCCAAGGAAAAGGCTAGGGAGGAATTCTCTTCTCTTGGCAGGAAGATGCTGGCCAGAGACACAGGCAAGGGGAAGTTCACTCTTTTCCTGTTGGGTTTTGTTGTTTGAGACCACATCTCACTACATAGTCATGGCTAGCCTGGAACTTATTGCACAGACTAGGCTGGCCTTGGACTCAGTGAGATCCTCCTGCCTCTTCCCCTCAGTGCCACCATGCCTTTAATATCTATTTGTTTTTACAGCTCAGAAGAATGATGCAGACAGAGGTATTCAGATTCTGGTTAAAAAAATGTCTGGACAAAGGACAATCAAGGAAACCAACAGCAAACTAAGTGGTCAAGCAAACTTGTTACGATGGAAAAATTCTGAGTGTCATTAGACAAATCCTCATAATAGTAAGATAAGCTCTTCTGCAAAACAAAGCCAAAAACATGCTACTGAGAGTAATACATGCTTTTACATTTATTTTCGCATGAAAACTACTTTAAAAAGTCAAGAGATATATTACAACAATAAGTCATAAATAATAGGTTCGTGAACAAATATAAAGCTTCTTTTCTCATGTGATTCCTATAATCTCAATAGAAACCCCACCTTGATAGCATTCTTACCAGCATCGTTTTTCCGTTTCCAGGTGGACCAAAGAGCAACAACCCTCTGGCAGGAGCTCTGAGCCCTGTGAACAACTTTACAAAATGCACATCGGTTACAGCCATGATTCTAGAAAGCTGATCCAGACATGTCAAGTATTTACCATTTGTTATCTAAAAATATCTTTCTTTGGGGAGTGAGATGGGATGTGATAGGGTCTCACTATGTATCATACAATTTTCTACCTTTCTCATGAAAGTTAAAATGGATTCAGAATTTCTTACATTCATTCTCATCTCCTATAACAAGCTACCAATAGCAAATGAGAAAGTCTTTTGTGAGAGGTGTCAGACATGTTATACTGTATTATGGCCCAGGCTGGTCCAGAATTCACAGTGGAACCCACACTAGCGTCAAGCTCAAGGGCCTCCTGCCTCAGCCTCTTCAGCTGGATGCTTGGTACATCCCTAGACTTTAATGTTGGTATTTTTTAAAATACTGAACTTGGAATTATTTAATATAATTCATTTGGTAACATAAAATCCTTACTTCAGGCCGTAGAGAAGGAAGAATAACAATTTCTTGCAGTGCTTGTTTTGCCAATTCCTGACCAGCTATATCATCAAATTTAACAGCTGTCCCACTAAAAAATAGAACACCAGTTAATTTCACAACAGAAATATGGTTCAGTGACTTCAATTCGGTGTATAAGCCTAACATAGTCATCTTTATGTTAACTACCAAACTTGATTGTTCGCAAAAATCTTCAAAACTGGGCCTGGAGAGATGGCTCAGTGGTTAAGAGCACTGATTGCTCTTCCAGAGTGCCCAGTTTCAATTCCCAGCACCTACATGGCAGTCGACAACTGTCTGTAATTTCAGCTCCAAGGGACCCATCACCCATGGCAAAACACCAATGCACATGAATTCAAAACAAAGCAAAAATGAACAGACAAAAAAACTGTTGTCATAGCCAGGCAGTGGTGGTGCATGCATTTAATCCCAGCACTTGGGAGGCAGAGGCAGGCAGATCTCTTGAGTTCAGGGCCAGCCTGGTCTACAGATCCAGTTCCTAGAGTTCCAGGACAGGCTCCAAAGCTACAAAGAGAAGTCTTGTCTGGAAAAAACAAAACAACAAAACAAAACAAAATCTTCAAAACTACCATAAAAAATTAAGGACGAAAGTAAACAAAATAGTTGTTATATAATACATATTTTTTGTTTGTTTGTTTTTGAGACAGGGTTTGGAGACTGTACTGAAACTCTCTTTGAAGACCAGGCTGGCCTCGAAATCACAGAGATCCACTAGTCTCTGCCTCGGGAATGCTGGGATTAAAGGCATGCGTCACCACCGCCTGGCTCACACATATCTGTTTTATAAATAAAAATAAAAAGTAGAAACTGAAATGCTTGGCAAAACTTACTTGTCAACAATTTCATTCATTATGAGGTTCGCCAGGTTGCTGTCCACATTCCTAAAATTTTTCAAGTCTTTCTTTTTACGAACAGCCGTTGTGGGTGTAGAAGGTTTGTTGGTTCTGTTTGGTTTTGGAGTACCCTTGAAGGACACAAAAATCTAATGTGAAATAACCTAGACTTTTCTCTCACAAATCACCATAAAGGTCAGTAGATTTTAATAGAAACAGGGAAACAGGAAGCTGGGGAGATGCTCAGTTAGTGAAATGCTTGCTACACAGCAGTGAGAACTGGAGTTCGGGTCCTGGGCACTTGTGTAAGCCAGCCCTGTGATCATCTGTAACTCAGCTTGCAGAGGCAGGGGCAGGACAGGCAGCTCCCTGAGGCACACAGATCAGCTATTCTAAGCAGTGTGTGTGAGCTCCAGGTGCAAAGTGATGAGAAGTTTATCTGAGGTCTACTTTTGGTCTCCACACACGGGTAAACACAAAGAAAAAAACCTAAGACTACAAAGACTGAGTATTTAACCCAAAATGACATTCACTATAGAAAGACATTTGACATGAAGAGGACTAAAAGATTTTATCCAGACATTCAGTTATCATAAAAGACAAAGAAGCAGCCACTGCACGCCTTTAACCCCAGCACTCGGGAGGCAGAGGCAGGCAGATCTCTGTGGTTCATGACCAGCCTGGTCTACAAGAGTGAGTGCCAGGATAGTCTCCAAAGCCACAGAGAAACCCTGTCTCGAAAAACAAACAAACAAAACAAAATAAAAAGACAAAGAGGCAAGGCAGTTGAGAGCTTTCACTGGAAAATCACGAGAAATGGAGTTTGGATGTCAGCATTCACATAACATGCCAGTCATTCTGTACATGCCTGTAACCCCAGTTCTGAAGGCAATGGAAACCAGATGACCATCAGGACCCACAGGCTTCCAGACAATGACAAACAAGCTCTAGGTTCAAGGGTGGATTCTTCTTCAAAGAAATAAGACACCTAGCACCCTCTCTGTACTTCAACTGCAGGCACCCCACCCCCAACACAAAGTTTAAAAGAAATATCATCTTTCTTTGACTTCTGTTAGAATTACAACAGAAATCTAGGTATGTTAATGTTCTAAAATTTGCAAACTCTAGCTGGTTGTTGTTGGTGCATGCTTTTAATGCCAGTACTCAGGAGGCAGAAGCATGAGGATCTCTGTGAGTTTAATGCTAGCCTGTTCAAAAGAATGAGTTCCAGGAAAGCCAAGGCTACACATAGAAACCCTGTCTTGAAAAACCAAAACAAATAAATAATAAAATTTACATAATTTGAAATAATTCTAAAACTAGAATTAAAATGACATATATTATACTGAAAAGACTTGGTAAGTAAACAATATAAAATTCCTAATCTAAAAGGAACTAAGATTTTAATAGCAAATAGTTTATGTAAATTAAAGATTAAATTTAACTTTGTGGAAACCAATCAATTCTATAAAGCATAACTAATACACTAAAGCAAGAACAACAAAGTTTTGTATTTGCAATGCACAATTACACCCTCTGTCTAGAGTACCTTATGTGCAGCAGCTGCAGAACCAGGTCCCTGTCTTCCTCCAGAAACCATGGATAAACCACTGCAACTAGGAGCCCTGTGGTGACCTGAAAGGCCCGTGGATCCACTTTTCATGACTGTTTTTGATCGAGGCAATGAATTACTAGCATGTGTTAGGGGATCTTTTCTCTTCAGAACTGCTCCACTTTCTATCAAGGAAAAAAATCCAGCCATCATGATTAGAAACTTTGACTATGCGTATAAAAATTAATAGTAATAATTTATAATATTTACAACAATAAAGATACTAACAAATTTGCAAAACAAGGTACCAGCAGTTTACAATTTGTATCTATTACTGTTGTGTGTGTATGTATATGATGTATGTACGAGTGTGGGTGCACATATGTTACGGCACATGTGCAGAAGTCAGAAGACAACTTTCTGACTTTGGTTCTCATTTCCTACCATGTGGGTCCCAGGAGTCAAACCCAGGCCATCAAGCTTGTGCATACAGTAAGGGCCTTTATCTGCTGAGCCATCTCACTGGCCCTCAACAAAGGTTTTTATTTTTAGTTTTTAAATTTTTTATTTTTGTTTTTTGAGACAGGGTTTGGAGGCTTTGGAGGCTGCCCTGGAACTAGCTCTTGTAGACCAGGCTGGTCTCGAACTCACAGAGATCAGCCTGCCTCTGCCTCTGCCTCCGGAGTGCTGGGATTAAAGGCGTGTGCCACCAACACCCAGCTAACAAAGGTTTTTAAATCCAGTAGTATTTCAAAATAAGATCCAACTCAGAAAATAAACCAGGATGTCATGGGAATGGTTACTAGGAAGAGAGATTTGGTTATGAGGTTTGCTCTCCCCTGTTGTAGATTCTAATTTTCTTATGAAGAAATGCACTTGGAAAAACAATTTGTGAGGGAAGATAAGACATAAAAAAAAAAAAAAAAGATATCAAGCAAATAAAGCTCCCAAACAACTAAAAAACAGAATGCAGTGAAAGCACTAGGAATACACTACACAAAGGAGAAAACAGCAACACCCACGACTTGACTGTCCACTTTCGTGTCTGCAGTATACATACTGTGTGGCTATGTGCATATAGAGGCCAATTTGATGTCATGTAACTCCCTCAGTAACTCTCAGCCTCACAGACGCACTGAACCTGGAGCTCATCAACTGGCAGTGAGCTCCTGGCACCTCACCCCACTTCTGGGCTTACAGTCCTGTACTGCCATATCTGGCTTTTATGTGGGCGCTAAGGACCTAATTCAGGTACTCATGCTTGTGTGACCGGCACTTCACTGACTGAGTTATTGCCCTAGTCCATAACTGCAAACCTTTATGGCTATGAAATATGAAAGACCACAACTCATTACCACTAAAGTTTTGTTTTGATTAACCGATTTTAATTGAAAAATATAAAGTTATAGCCTTTAGTATGCCAAGTATTTTATGTGATATATATATATATATCAATCTAAGTAAATAAATGAGAAAGTTATAGGCTTTTAAATGCTCAACAATCACAACTTGTAACATATAACTATATTCCTATAAAACAGAAACCAGTGCTTATTAATAATGATGTTTATGGGCTGGAGAGATGGCTCAGTGGTTAAGAGCACTGGCTGTCCTTCCAGAGGTCCTGAGTTCAATTCCCAGCAACCACACGGTTGCTCACAACCACCTTGAATGAGATCTGGTGCCCTCTGCTGGCATGCAGGCACAAGACTGTATACATAATAAATAAATAAAATCTTAAAAAAAAAAAAAAAAATGCTGTTTATTGTAAAGACAACTCTAAAACCAGGCAAGTATAGTGGCTGAGCCAGGGAAGATTTCTGTGAGTTCAACAATAACCTGGGCCAGCCAGGACTACAAAGTATGAAACCATGTTCAAGAAAGAAAAAGAAAGCTGGGTATAGTGGTGCATGTCTTTAATCCCAGCACTTGGGAGGCAGAGGCAAGTGAATGTCTGTAAATTCCAGGACAGCTTGTTCTGCAGAGTCAGTTCCAAGACAGCCAGAGCTACATAATAGAGGGATCCTGTCTCAAAAGACAGACAGAAGCCAGGTGGTGTTGTACGCCATGCCTCAAAAATATCAAAACAAAACAAAACAAAACAGAAGGACAAACAAACAAAAAATGCTGGTCATGGTGAGACATACAATCCCATAATCCTAACACTTAGCAAGCAGAGACATGAGGATCACTGCAAATTCCAGGAGGACCTGGTCTACCTACCAAGTTCTAAACCAGACAAAACTTACATAACAAGACCCTCTTGTGCCTGGCAGTGGTGGTGCACATCTTTATTCCCGGCATCCGGGAGGCAAAGGCAGGTGGATCTCTGTGAGTTTGAGGCCAGCCTGCTCTACAGATTGAGTTCCAGTACAACCAGGGCTACACAGAGAGACTGTCTTGAGGGAGGTGGGGAGCACCCAAAAACCAACCAAACAAACAAACAAATGAACAAAAAGATCCTCTCAAAAGGATGGGGGAGAGAAGGAGAAAAATGTAAAACTAGACAGTAAATTAGACTGTTCAAGAGACAGAAGTCGTTGTTTTGCTTTTGAATACCTTTAAAGGAAACTGTTTATTTGGAGAACTAAACTGTTAAACTGCCACTGGAGAGCTAATAAGAGGACCTTTAAGACAAGGAGAATAGACAACCTAAATACTAGACCAACACAGTCATTTGATTATATTGTGATAATCAAATTTATGACAATCAGGGAGATTATAGTAAACTTGGTATGGATTGCCTTGGATCATTATCCTAGAATATAAAAGACTATGATTGCTAGAATTATTTTAGTCATAACAGAGGCTGAAACTACTGCTATCTTTCCAAAGGTTTTAAGAGGAAAGATTGACTCACTAAACTGTCAACCACAGGACTGGAGTGATGGCTCAGCAGTTAAGAACACTGACTATTCTTGCAGAGGACCCAAGTTTATACTGGTACTCACACTGAGTGGCTTACTGTAACTGGTGGGGAGGGGTGGTTGACCCCTCTGGCCTCTGCTGGCAACCCCAAACACCTGGGCATACTCACACTTGTACACATAATTAATATTAATAAAACAGGGGGCTAAGAGATAGTTCGGTGGTTGAGAACACTTGTTGCTCTTTCAGAGGACCTGGGTCAGTTCCCTTCACCTACATGGCACATCATAACCATCTGTAACTCCAGTTCTGGAGGATCTGACACCTTCTTCAGACTTATATGGTCATTAAATATACAACGAACACAGGCATAACACTTATAATAATTTTCCTTTAAAAAATAAGAACAGGGAAGGGGTTAGAGAGACAATTCAGTAGTTAATACCACTTGTTACTCCTGCAGAGAACTTGAGTTTGGTTTCCAATACTTGCAGCTCACACCATCCATAACTATAATTCCTGGCGGTCTTACACCCTCTTCTGACCTCCAAGAGCACCAGACATATACATGGTACACATATATACAGGCAGTAAATAAATCATTAAAAATTAAAAAACAAGAGGCAGGTGAGTTCGAGACCAGCCTGATCTACAAGAGCTAGTTCCAGGACAGCCTCCAAAGCCACAGAGAAACCCTGTCTCGAAAAAAAAAAAACAAAAAAATTTTAAAAAAAATTAAAAAACAAGTTGGGCAGTGGTGGCACATGCCTTTAATCCTAGCACTTGGAAGCTAGAAGCAGGCATATTTCTGTAAGATCAAGGCCAGCATGGTCTAACAGAGCCAGAACTATTACCCAGAGCCCTGTCTCAAAAACAAAACAAAACAAAACCCAAACAAATCAAAACAAACACACAAAACCAGCAGCTGCTTCATTGCCTGACCTAAAGTTTATATGACAATTTGAAGGTATAGTTGCTCGAATAAAATTTAAGTATAAACCTGGGTAAAGTGGCACATGCCTGTAAGCAGTTATTCAGGAGTCTGAGACAGGAGCATTGAGCCTAGCAGTCCACAGCAGCCTGGGCTACACCGTACCTCCCAGACTGGGCTATGGATTATAACACTGTCTCAAAAAACAAACAAACAAAAAACCCCAACCAACTACCCTGGACACGAAACCACTGCTGAAAAAAAAACAAACCAAAATAAAACAAACAACAACAAAAAACTGAACCAGCAACAAAGCAAACTACCTAAGGTACAGGGAGTCCAGGACACTTTTGTAGCTCGCATGAAGGCCTGGACATCATCACTATCAAAATCAAACAAAAACTAAACGAGACTGGGAAAGCCTAGAAAATGAAGTTTCTTCCACTGGAACAATGTAAAAGGCATTTAATTCTTTTTTTCTGTATTTAACATTCTAAAAGGACTGGATAAACAAAAGTTATGAGAAAGATGTCCTCTATAGTAGTAGTACTATTAAAATGTATCTTCTTGTATGTGAAGCTTCAATTTCTATTTTTATTTATTTATTTATTTATTTTTGGTTTTTTCGAGACAGGGTTTCTCTGTGTAGCTTTGGAACCTGTCCTGGAACTAGCTCTTGTAGACCAGGCTGGTCTCGAACTCACAGAGATCCACCTGCCTCTTCCTCCCGAGTACTGGGATTAAAGGCATGTGCCACCACCGCCTGGCGAAGCTTCAATTTCTAACAAGTGATTCATATAGTATATATGAAAACTGATAAACAGTAAAAACTGATGTTTGACAAAATATTAAAATTTCCATGTTAAAAACAAAAAAGAGGAAAATCCCACAAACACTTAAAATACAACAGAAATGAAAATATTTTTATTTGAAGGAACTGGGTATGGTGGTACACAACTTTAATCCTAGTATTTGATGCAGAGGCAGACAGATCTCTGAGTTGAAACCAGCCTAATCTGAGTTCCAAGCCAGTCAGGGACACACAGTGAGACCCTGGCTCAAAAATTAATAAACAAAAATTAATAAGATTATGTACAGATATGGTACAATATGTTCATATTTCCAATACTGGGATTTTGGAAGTTAAAGGGCACCCGGAATATATAATAAGTTCCAAGCCATGCAGGGCTATAGTAAGACCCTGTCCCAAATGACAAAAAAACATTAACAAAAACAAAAAGATCAAATCAGGTTTTTTGAGATGGCTCAGTGGGGAAAGGCACTTGCTACCAAGTTTGCTAACCTGAGTTTAATCCCAAGGACATACTGGTAGTAAAGAGAATCCCTTCTTTCAGTTGTCCTCTGACCTCCAAATATTTTCACGTACACATATATACATACACAAACACATATGTGTGTGTGTGTGTGTGTGTGTGTGTGTGTGTGTGTGACTTTTACCTAAAAGAACAAGTTTATTGAGTACAATTTAGGAGCCAGTAGTCTAGACAGTAATGAAAGTACCACATCCCCATACTTTATACTTCTTAAGTAAGAAGTTAGAAAACACGTGGTATATTTAGAATGGCTCTACTATGTCTGTCATATGTTCAGACACAGAATAAGGATACTGTATGCTCCACTAACCCTGTGAAAACTAAACAGATATCCTTCTATACAGCTAAATCAACACTATAGGGTAAGCAAGAGTTCATTTTCCATGCAAGCTTTAGTTTATGTTAGTTAGCCTAAACCTACCTGACTGGAGATGTCCATTTCGGCAAGTCAGGTTAGTACTGTCATTATAGACTTCCGTTTGTGACTTGGAAAATTGCAAAACGGGTTGCAGCTTCTCTATGCAATAGAGGAGGTTAAAAAAGAACAAAATAAACAGAAAGAAAATAAACAAATAAAAGGCATGTGGAAAATGGGAAATTATTGTTACAAAGCCATCAGCGAAGTTTTTGCACATATATGAAATATTCTCTAATATATAATTAATTAGTTAGAACTTATATTAAAAGTACAGAAGTTAACATGTAGAAGGCTATCTTGAAAATATACCTTATCCAGGCTGGTAATCTAAGACAGTTACTTAATACTATTAACAACAGCAAGTGATTGGCTGCCTATCATATACTCAAATCCCTAAGTTAACATAGTGATACTCAGATAAAAAGTGAATGGTTGTTATCAAATATAATTGGTAATTTAGAGCATAACTGTATTAGTCCTTATTATTATCATTATTGTTGTTGTTATTATTAGAGAAAGGGTCTGTCTATGTAGCCTTGGCTATCGTAAAACTCACTATGCAGACCAAGCCAGCCCTGAACTCAGAGATCTGCTGGGATTAAAGACCTGAACTATCAGCCAAGCAGCAGTGGCACACTTCTTTAGACCCAGCACTGGAGAGGCAGAGGCAGGTGGATCTCTGGAAGTTTGAGGCCGGCGTGGTCTACAGTGCAAGTTCCAGGGCAACTGAGGGTACACAGAGAAACCCTGTCCCCAAAACCAAACCAAACCAAAACAAGACCTGTATTATGACATCCAGTTCAACATAACTGTATTTTTAAAAGACTGTATAGTACAAAAAGCCTATTGAAAGGCTTTACAGAGCTGAGTGGTAGTTGGTGGTGGTGATGGGGGCAAATGCCTTTAATTGTAGCACTCAGGGAGGCAGAGACAGGCTGATCTGAGTCAGCCTGGTCTACAGAGTGAGTTCCAGGACAGCCAGGGTTACACAGAGAAACCCTGTGTTTAAAACAACAAAACACAACACAACAAAACCAAACAAAAGGCTTTACAAGACTGGAGGACTGGAGAAATGACTCAGCAGTTAAAAGCACTGGCTGCTGTTCCAGAAGACCCAGATTCAGTTCCGAGCACCCACATGGCAGCTCACAATGGTCTGTAACTTCAATTTTAGGGGATCCAGCACCCTCCTACAGGCATACACACAGGCACAAGACCAATGTACACAGATAAAAAATAAATCATAAAAAAAAAGAAAGAAAAGGCTTTACAGAGGAAGTACAGCATGGTCTCCCTAAGATCAAAAGGAAATTGTGAGAGGAAATCACACTTAAAAACGGCACAGAAAGAAACAACAACAAGGAGTTTCTAAGAAAGGCCATTGGCTCTATTAGCTGAAGTCAAGCAAAATAATAAATAAATAAATAAATAAATGCCACAAGGCAAGGGGACCAGCATGATGAACTGTGTGTGCAGTGTAACTACTGTGTGTGACACACACACACAGACACACACAGACACACACAGACACACACAGACACACACAGACACACACAGACACACACAGACACACACAGACACACACAGACACACACAGACACACACAGACACACACAGACACACACTCTTAATGGATCCAGTACAGCTGCCTCTTGGGAGGGGAATGGGTCATTTGGATACAGTAGGAGGGATGGCAATCATACTTTGAAATTGTGACATGACATATAAAATGTAACTAAAAATGTAACTAATCAGCCGGGTGTTGGTGGTGCACACCTTTAACCACAGCACTCAAGAGGCAGAGGCAGGCAGATCTCTTGTGAGTTTGAGGCCAGCCTGGTCTACAGTTAAAAGTTCCAGGAAAACCTCCAAAGCAATACAGAAATACCCTGTCTCGAGAAACAAAAAAACAAAAAAAAAGAAAAGAGAAAAACAAACAAACAGAAAGACAGAGATGTAGCTCATCAATGAAAAGATTTGTTCCAACCCTACCCCACCTCAAATAACAACCCTCCATAGACTGAGTCAGCTTGCTGTCTGGGGCAGAAGGGTTGCTACTTTCCCTTCTGGAGTAAGGCTGCAGCTCTCCTCCCCCACTTGGTAGTCATCTGCATGCAGGCTGTCAGACATGCTCCTAAGGTGACATACCTATCTGTCTCATCCAAATAAGGGATGATCACCTTTTCCCAAAAATGTCTGGCTGAAGTCAGTTTGTTTTCTTCTATATTAGAAAGCCACTGAATCCATGTATAAATGCAGCACTGGGCCTAGGCATATGTGGCTCAGTGTGAAATATGCGGTTAACATAAGCTTTAATTATTAGCACCCAACCAACAAACAAAACAAAGAAAGCAGAACATACATATAACTCTTAGACTTATATTCCTAAAGCAGACAAGGAGGCACCATGCTTGGTTTACGGTGCAGTATCACATGCCTCTGGGACAGGTTAAATAGCAGCTACCCTTTGTATACAAAGCACAAAGCAGTGTGCAGCTTCTGTGTCCTAGAAGTGGCTGATACAATATACCTTGGATCCTTTCTATTTACTTTGGTTAACTGGAGGTAGGTCATCTGATTTTTCTCAAAGATAATGCTCTTTAAATCAAAATACTGAGACACAAATTACTTGTGTTGGTGAAAACAGAAGTTAGAAAAATTCTTTTTTATTAACACAAAAAGTAACCAGAAACATGCATTATACAGTAATGACAAGCAGAAATTAAAATCTTAATTTTTTGATTACTGGGGATAAAAAGTTTTAAGTATGTAGAGTTTACAGTTCTACCTGTATAAACACACACAGACACACACACACACACACAGTGACCATATTTCAGTTAATCCCTATTAACAAAACAGTAACTGAGGATGAAGCTCAGTGGTAGAGAACTCAGGTGGTATGTACAAGGCCCTGGATTCTATTCCTGCCACAACAACTGAAAGACACTAATGCTGGTTTTTTAAATGACTGAGGTAAGACAGACTAATACAGCTACCTAAACTACAACAGCCATGCTTCCCTAAGCTCCTCACATCTAATCCCAAACGGACCACCTCACTGATGTACTTTACAGAAAAATCATACCATACAGCTCTACTTAAAACCTTCTAGTTGGTTGTGGTTATCACATACTTTGATCATAGCATTTGGGAGGCAGAGGCAGGTGGATCTCTGCAAATTCCAGGCCAGCCTGGTCTACATAGTGCTATGGATCCCACAGTGAGCATTCCTGCTTGACAAAGTTCCAGCATTTTGACTTTGCAGATCACAATTCTCCAGCCCCACTTTACTTTCATTTTTTAATGACTCTCACTATGTGTTATGGGAGCTCCCTTATGCCTTTTCCTTTGGGAAATTTTATATAGGCTTTGAAGGATGAAAATGTATAAAATGGCAGCCTCTTTAAACAAAGTAATTTTTTTTTCTTCAGTTTTTCGAGACAGGGTTTCTCTGTGGCTTTGGAGACTGTCCTAGAACTAGCTCTTGTAGACCAGGCTGGTCTCGAACTCACAGAGATCCTCCTGCCTCTGCCTCCCAAGTGCTGGAATTAAAGGCGTGTGCCACCAACGCCCAGCTAACAAAGTAATTCTTAAGAAAAAAATTTGTGCTACCATGGAACCATGTAGAGCATGATAACTCTGCCTACTCCCATATATGTTAACACCAAGCTGTTAGAAAATGTAGATAACATGTACTTGATAAACAAGGTGTATTTGATAAATAAGATTTGTCTGATAAATAAGGTATATTTGATAATGAAGGTTTATAAATTCCTAAGGTCTATTCAGGTTAACAGTAGTATTTGTCTAATTTCATTTTTGCTCACTTTAAGTTTTAGCTATTTGGATAAACTAAGCCATACAAAAAATTGGCATATTCTATATTGGAATGTTTGGTCCCCTGAGAAAGTCCTTTTCCCAAGGTCAGGCATTTAAATAAAAGTCCCCATTGTCTCAGGGACTTGAGGAAAGTTCCTGATGGCTAAAGAGGAAGACATTCTAATCTCTGGGGAGAAGAGCTTGTGGCCCTTCCAGTAATATGTAACTGTTGTTAGCTGGGCAGTGATGACGCACGCCTTTAATCCCAGCACTGGGAGGCAGAGGCAGAAGGATCTCTGCTTGTGAGTTCTAGACCAACCTGGCCTACAAATCAAGTTCCAGGACAGCCAGGACTATTGCACAGAGAAACCCTGTCTTGAAATCCTAAAACAAAACAAACAAACAAAAAACAAGCCAGAAAACAAAGGAAGGAAGGAAGAAAGGGAGGGAGGGAGGGAGGGAGGGAGGGAAGGAAGGAAAGAAGGAAGAAAAGAAGGAAGGAAGGAAGGAAGGAGCGAGCAATGGTTAAGAGCATTGGAGCTCTTGCAGAGGACCAAGGTTCACTTCCCAGCACCCATATTAAGTAGCTCACAAACACCTGGAACGCTAGTTCCAGAGAATCTGATGCTCTCTTCTGGTCTCCATAGGCATCTTTATGCATGCTGTGCACATATAAACACTCAGGCACACACATAAAATTTGAAATTATTGATCTACTACTGGTAAAGACTGAATTCACACTGGAGACTGAGCACAGGGCCTGTACATGCTATGCAAATGCTCTACCACTGAACTATGTGCCCGGCCCTTACCATTAATGATTATTAAACATTTTAAGTGTTTTTCATAACTAATTAGAGAAGTTGATACCTAGAAGCTGCAAACGATCCTTGGCCATAACCAAATTAGTCATCATTTTGGCTTGAAGGCGTCTAGCTCTTTCACACTGTTCACCTAAATGAAAAAAAAAGGAAGAATTAGCTAAAATATCTACATTTCCCTACCAACAGTGTTTCAAGGTAAGTGTTGCTCCAGTACCTTCATGGATAATCAGAATCTGTCTTCATAAAGAAATTTAAGGTTGGGCTGGGCGTTGGTGACGCACGCCTTTAATCCCAGCACTTGGGAGGCAGAGGCAGGAGGATCTCTGAGTTTGAGGCCAGCCTGATCTCCAGAGAGAGTGCCAGGATAGGTGCCAAAGCTACACAGAGAAACCCAGTCTTGGAAAACAAACACAAAAACAAAAACAAAACAAAACAAAACAAAAAAAAAGAAAGAAAAAGAAATTCCCAATTTACTTTATTTTTTTTTAGACAGGGCTGCACTGTATACCCCAGACTAACTTTAAACTCACAGAGATCCACCTGCCTCTGCCTCCTAAATCCTGGGATTAAAGCTGTGTACCTGGTTTCTATTCTAACATGTACAATAAATAAATAAATAAATAAATAAATAAATAAATAAATATTACCAGGCTGAAAATGTAACTCAGGGATAGGACACTTACCTAGTGTGTAAGACCTAATAATACCTAACAACAACAAAAGATTACTTACACACAACAAACAGGGAAAACACATGTGACTGATTACCCACTGATCACTTATTGATCCTTGGATGACTTTAAGGCTATAGTGTATTAGTTATTGCCTGTCTGCTATGGGAAATCAGGTTTGAGACCTGAGTTTCACTTTTAGAACAGCCAATACCATACATGCACAAATATTAACAATGACATCAAAAAGGGCTGGAGAGATGGCTCGGTGGTTAAAAGCACTGGCTGCTCTACCAGAGGACCTGGGTTCAATTTCTAGCAGCCCCATGGCAGCTCACAACTATCTATAACTCCAGTTCTAGGGGATCCAATGCCCTCATATGGACATATATTCAGGCAAAAACGCCAATTCACATGAAATGAAAATAAATAATTAAAAAATAAGCAAAATACAATGACATCAAGAAATAAAATGCATTTACTGAGGTAAATAAGATTTAAAAAGAGAGGAATTATGTAAATTCAGTCACTAACCCCACTTCTGCAAATCTGTTTTCAGAATTTTCAGTTACCTGTGATCACCTACATTCCAAAATAATTAAATGGAGAATTACAAAAAAAAAGAAACAAAAAAACCAAGTTATAGATATTGAGCTGCATGGTATTAATAAAATTTCACCTTTACCTGATCTACCCCAACCACATCATGAATTTTCCATTTGTCCAAAATATCCACAATACGTACTGCTGTCCTGTAGTCACTCGGCAGCCATCCTGGTTATTAGTTATAACGTCTAGGGCTGGCCACTCCTTACAGTTTAGTCCATGAGGAGCCCTGGAAGGTTCTTTATGGATAAGGGCTCTGGAAGGAGGGAATTACTATAGAATTTGAGGTGGCAATAGAAACTATACATAAAACCCACCTTGGCCTGTTACTATAACAGCAATTCCTTTTTCTAGTTCTTCGATACCTTTCTTGTACCATTCCACAGCTTGTTCCTTCTGTCCTGCTTTAAAAAAAAAAAAAAAAGGAACCTTATTTGTATATAACATGAGTATGAAAAATGTAGCATTCACTGGCCCATGTATCATACTGATAAATGGCACATGAAAAGGCTGTGATCAGTAAGTCTAAGAAACATTATACATATACATAATCAAAAATTTCCATATCATTATTATTTGATTTGTCAAAATAAAAACTTAATCACAACTGCCATGATCACAAAATAGAATGGTCTTTTTATAGATACCATATAACAACTAAGAAATGTTTATCCCCTATTCCTCCATAGCCCCCCTTTAACATAGGTTGTATATAGCCCTGGGGGCCTAGAACTCACTCACTCTGTAGACCAGGCCTGCCTCTGCCTCCCAAGTGCTGGGATTAAAGGCATGCATCATATATTTGGCAATGTTTTACTTCTCTCAATATCACAGTTTTCGCTGTGCCCAGTGAAGAGTAAGCATTGAAAAAGTACCTGATAATGTCACCTGAAGAAATTGTTAAGTGCTTGCTGTAAGTCAACCTGGACACAGTGGCAAGAAGATCAAAAGTCTCAGGTCTTCCTCAGCTACAGAGCAAGTTTGAGGCTAGCCTAGGCTACAAGATCCTTCCTTACTTTATTGTAGACCAACAGAAACTTTGATTTTCCTGTTTTCTTTTTTTTTGACGTGGAGGCTCATATAGTCCAGGCAGGTCTCACAAAATATACACAGCTGGGAATGCCCTTGAAATACTGACCCTCCGAGTGCTAGCCTGGCTTTATAGTTACATTTTCAATAAGAAAATACCTGTTCATATGCATTTCTGGGTATTTTTACTTGAAAAGAAGAAAAACAAATAGTATTATGACATTTACATTCTGAGTGATGAGAATGTGGCCAGCAATGTCTTACATGTGTATAGTTCTTACTCTACCAAAGTGACAATATCCTAGCAAACATGAGAGTTCCTTTACAGAACCTCTTCTCATTCGCATGGTCTTCCCTTCCAAGAAGTCACTATCATGATCTCAATACATGTCTTTATAGTACAGACTTTTCTACTATATTCACCAATATTTGTAGTATTTAATTTTTTGTTTTTTGTTTTGTTTTGTTTTGGTTTTTTTTTTTGAGATAGGGTCTCACTACGAAGCCTTGGCTATTCTGGAACTCACTATGTAGATCACGCTGGCCTTGAACCCAGAGATATGGCTGCCTCTGCCTCCAGCGTGCTGGATGAAAGGGGTACCACCATTTCCACCTTTCATTTACATTTGTGTGTGCATGTGTGTGCAGGTGCATCAGCCCTTGCATGTGCATATGAAAGACAGAGGCTGATGTCTAGTATCTCCTACTGCTCCTGACTCCACCTGATTTATCATCACATGAGGTGGGGGCATGGGTACATGTATCAAACACATAAGTGGAAGTCAAAGGAGCCACCAGTCTCTAAGCACTCCAGCGCTGGGATAACAGATGTCAACCACACCTGGCTTTCTTTCGCATGGGTACAGGAGACCTGAAGTCAGGTCTTTACGCTTTCGTAACAAGCATTTACCTGCTGACCCAGCTCCACAGCCCTATTTTATTTTTTTTAATTCACATATGCAATTGATATACATATATGTATATGTTAATGTGTATATATATTTCATTCATTACCTGGTAATTTACCTATTTCCTATATTAAAAGCTATTGAGCAGAGCAGTGGTGGTGCATGCCTTTAATTGCAACACTGGGGAGACAGAAGCAGGTGGATCTCTGAGTTTGAGGTCAGCCTGGTCTACAGAGTGAGCTCCAGGACAGCCAAGGCTACAGAGAAACCCTGTCTGGAAAAACCAAACCAAAAGCTATTGAAGGGCTGGCTGGTGAGACAGGCAGAGCAGTGGGTAAAGTTCATGCTGCTGAACCTGAGGACTTGAGTCTGATGCCCAGGACTCACATGGTAGAAGGAAAGAACTGATCCCCAGGAAGTTAGTTTTTCTCTAACTTCCAAACCTGCACCATGGCAATACACAAAAGAAATAAATGAAGTTTTTTTTTTTTTTTTTTTGGTTTTTCGAGACAGGGTTTCTCTCTGTAGCTTTGGAGCCTATCCTGGCACTCACTCTGGAGACCAGGCTGGCCTCGAACTCACAGAGATCCGCCTGCCTCTGCCTCCCGAGTGCTGGGATTAAAGGCGTGCACCACCAATTCCCTGCAAATGAAGGTTTTTACTTTGGTATTTTAACAATTGTCTTCAAAGGTACTGAATGACTGAGAACATACAGTTCAGTGGTAGACTATTAGTCCCCAGCTCCACAAAGAAAGGTAAGACACTGAAAGAAAAGATACTGGAGAGTTAGCCCAGGGGTTAGAGCACTTGTCCTTGGAGAGGACCAGAGTTCTATGTCCATCACCCACACAGTAGCTCACAGCTGTCTGTAACGCCAGTCCAGGAGATGTCATAGCCTCCTTTAACCTCTAGAGTGCCAGAAACACTCATGGTGCACATGCATACTTGCAGGCCAACACTCAGATACAGAAAATAGTTTTAAAAATATATAAATGTGCTAGGCAGTGGTGGTGCACACCTTTAATCCCAGTACTTGGGAGGCAGAGGCAGGAGGATCTATGTGAGTTCGAGGCTAGCCTGGTCTATAGAACGAGTGTCACGATAGGCTCCAAAGCTACACAGAGAAACCCTGTCTCGAAAATGTTCCAAAACACACTAAAAATTAAGGGCTTGCCTGGAGCTCAGCGGTAGAACACTTCTCTAACATGTTCAAGGCCCTGAGTTCAATCCTCAGCTCTTTCCCCCAAAAGAAAACAAACAATGTTCTCAGCCCCTTTTTTTTTTTTTTTTTTTTTTTTTTTTTAAATATGTCAAATAGTGCTGTGGTGAACAATCTGTCCTCAACACCCATCTGCAGTGTCTCTGCTGTACATGGAACAAGTAAAACAACGGGCAGTCACATTTCTCCACTCGCCACATGAACTAACTCTTAAGAGCTTTTCTAATTATGTACGTTCTTATTACTAGTTACACTTAATTACATTTATTTATCTGTTTAGTGTGTATTGCATGCATGCAGTTGCTCACCTACTACAGCACCCATGTGGAAAAAGTCAATTCTCTCTACCATGTAGAGAAGGCCATCAAGCTCACTGGCAGGCACCTTTGCCCACTAAACTATCTCGCTGGACCCTTTGCCTTTACTTCTTTAATTTTAACTTTTACTATTTTAAATGAAGTGGCTGTGTGAAAGAGGTCAGAGGTGTCAGATGCCCCTGGAGCTGGAGCTACAGGTAGATGTGAGCCATTTGACCTGGGTGCTGGCAAATGAACTTGGGTCCTCTGGAGGAGAGCAGTGTGTACTGCTGAGCCAGTCGCCTCCCTATTTGTGGTACTGGACTTGAAACCCAGGGCCTTGGATTAGTGTTCGGCAAGTACTTTATCACTAAGCTATATCCGAAGACCAAAACTATGCTTTTTGTCTTTTTATGATTTAAAGATTTTTTATTTTGCTGAGTGGTAGTGGCACATGCCTTTAATCCCAACACTAGAGTTACAGAGGCAGGCAGATCTCTGGGAGTTCAAGGCCAGCGTGGTCTACAGAGTAAGTTCCAGGACAGTCAAGGCTATAAAGAGAAATCCTGGCTGGGCGTTGGTGGCGCATGCCTTTAATCCCAGCACTCGGGAGGCAGAGGCAGGCGGATCTCTGTGAGTTTGAGGCTAGCCTGGTCTCCAGAGCGAGTGCAGGATAGGCTCCAAAGCTACACAGAGAAACCCTGTCTCAGAAAAAGGGGGGGGGGAGAGGGAGAGAGAGAAACCCTGTCTTGAAAAACGAAAATTTGTTGTTGTTACTATTATTATTGTGTGTGTGTGTATGATGTGTGAGTGCCTCAGTGCCTATGTAGAAGTCAGAGGACAACTTTAGGCAGTTGGCTATCTCTTTCAACGGTGAGTTATAAGGACTGAATTCAAGGCTTGAGTGTCAAGAGATTTTCACCTGCTAAGCCATCTCCCTGGCGCACCAATCTAAACTCTTAAAGCCAATATGAGAGTTCTCATTGGCAACATTCTTTTTTAATTTTTAAGATGGCTGAGCAGTTAGGACCTCTTGCTTTTGCAGAGGACCCATATTCAATTCTCAGAACCCACAATCCCCCTTAACTCCAATTCCAGGAGACCTGATTTCTTCTTTTTGACCTGCCTAGGCAGCAAGCACAAACATAGTGCCCACACATATGTACAGGCAAAACATTCATATACATAAGATGAAAGAAATCTAAAAAAGTTTACACGACCCATATTTATTTAATTTTGTCTCTCTGTGTGTGCTACTATAACTCCAAGGACAACTTTCAGGGGACTGTTCTCTCCTTCCTGTGTGGTCCTGAGGATTAAATAGGCTTGGCAGCAAGAGCCTTAACCTACTCAGCCATCTCCCTGGCCCACTGGCAGCATTCTAATAAATACTTGCTTGTCACTTACATATCATCTAATTTCTTATTTTAAAATTAAATTTAAAATAATGAAATTTATTATATGCATATGTGTATAAACACGGGGCAGGGGAGGGATGGGGCATAGCACAAGTGCAGAGGTCAGAGGACAACCTTGTGGGGTGACTCTCTTTTTCCACCTTTATGAGGGTTTCAGGACAAATTCAGGCTATCAGGCTTTGAAGCAAAAGAGTCACCTTGCCAGCCCTTTCTTAGTGTGTAAAACTCAGGGCCTGAATTAGAGAATTCTGAGACAACACAAAAGCAAAAGCCATGGGACCACTGATAAAATAAACTTTGCTAAATTTAAACTCTTTCTCTTTCAATGCCAGAGTTGTAAAGACAAAAAAAGACACCAAACAGGCTTTCAAAAATTCAAAAAACAGAATGTTTCACAATGGACTTGCTCTGGGCAGTGGTAATGCACACCTTTAATCCCAGCACTTCTGAGGCAGAGGCAGGCAGATTTCTGAGTTTGAGGCAGGCCTGGTCTACAGAGAGAGCTCCAGAGCAGCTAGAAATCCTGTCTCGAAAAACAAAATAAGAGCTGTACATGCCTTTGATCCCAGCACTTGGGAGGCAGAGGCAGGTGGACCTCTGTGAGTTCAAGGTCAGTCTGATCTACAGAGCC